CGTATTGAAACCGTATGTGGCCTATACAGTAACTTGCTGTGGTTAGCCGATGCACAAGTCAGTGCTTATATCTTCCCGGACGAGTCTGGTACCAACTGACCGAAGCGAGGAGATGGAAAAGTTGTTTGGCCTGGGCGGTATCGCTCAAGATTTCGAACTCGTTGTAAATATGATAGTGCGCTATTTGCCGCTATACCACCTCCGCCCATCTAGGTAATTACATGGTTACAAAATGCTATAGCCATGATGTAGTTGCAACATGGGTTTTCGAAAAAGGAATAAAATAGTTTTCACAAATCTTCTTGAGCAATCGTATTCTCTGTAGGATATTTCTTTCATCATTTTCCGTCCTTTTTTATTCATCCGATACCAGTACCATTGCCACCACACTCTACCAGCTTTTTTGACGTTCTATACGGTTGGACTTATCCGGTTTCAAATAACCTATATGTACTAAGACGTCGTAATACAAAACTAGTCAATAGACCTTCATTCGATCGAATATTCGACTTGGAGGGGGTAATTGACTTTGTAAATCTCTTCATGAGTGAGAGATTGTAGTCTAATATAGTTTTTAAGAAGTTCAATTTTCTGTAAAACAAAACTGAGAAAGCCAATACGATGGAGGGATTCGAAAAAAAGCAAAAATTATCCTGAAAAGTCACATCTATCTGGTCATTGTTACCGGAGCTCGTGGGATTTCTCCCCATACTCACCTTATCTTAACACTCTGAGCGGAACACGAAAAACACTGGAGATCCCCTTCGAATAACAAACTGCTCAGTGATGTGAGGGTTTTTTTGTCAAGTGTGAGGCGCACTACACAAACATATCATCACTTATCTTTGCCGTGAGTGATAACGAAACGAAGAAGAACAACAGCTCTCAACGTAGGGGGCGGATCGGTGTCAAACCTCAAATTTCGAAACAATGTGCTCGTAGAACACCAGTGATCACCTGTCCCTCTCACCCTGTTGTCCACTTCAAACTTATAAATAGATAACATACACAAGTAGGTCCTCTATGTTCTCCATGTCCTGAAAATGAAGAGGTTTCAGGCCAAGGAATCATTGACAGCTTTGACTCTCCCAGTTCTCAAAGGAGATCTTTTCGCCCGAGCGCTGGCCATCAAGTTTACTCAAAAGCCTCAAAGAGGTCCACATTCATCCCGCCTCGATACCTTGACGGCTCTTGCAAAGCCGTTTTTTATCAAATAGAAAATTATTTAGTTTCATTTCTGCCACGATTCAGCTCCATTTGGATTCGGAGCGTGAGAGTGAAGTGGGTTGAGAGCTTGAACGCTCTGCTTCATCTACATATTTTCCTGATCTAACACACTAGGATATCTCAAATACACTCCCTACAACAAGAGGAATTATCACAATATCCTCAAGTTTCTTCTTGATCCGACAATTTCCAGTGTTTGCACAGCCCGCAGCTAAAAATTGATGAGTGCTGAACCTCTTTGAGATTACTATTCTGAGCAAACAGCTTACATGACCCAACTCATGTAGAATGAAATTTTTGATGACGCCCTAGATTGGTTCGGTTGTCACAAAAGCAAAGTTTCTGATGAAAATGATCTCGAAGGTCTATTTCTGGTAAGAATCTACCTCCTTTTAGATGCTACAACGGGCATTGTCGTTTCATGACTTGGCGTGTGTGTGGCACAGTAAGGGTTATTTTCATTCCTTTTCAGCCCTGAAACTTACAGCTGGTTCATACTTCCACGGAAGGAGGTAAGATTAACTTATAGCTGGTTCATACGCGGGAAAGAAATCAGCCTGGTCAGGTACGCGCTACCTGAGCTGATATCCTTCAAAATAAGTCATAGTGGTACGCAGATAAAAATATAAAGGATCTATCTTGAGGCGTAAATCAGTCCCGTCTGAGGTGTGCACCCACGTGTACGACTTCAGCGTCGTAGTGTCGAATTTGATGCGTGTGTATCCCCATCCGATTACAAGTCAGTGCTCTTATCCTTTCAGACAAGTGTGGTACCAATTAACTATTATCAACCACCCCCAGACTGACGGAAGGCTTTTGTTTGACCTGGGCGGACATCGATCAAGGATTCGAACCCCTGACCATGCGTGTCAGATGGTGTGCCATTTCCACTAGACCACTTCCTCCCGTTGATGCCAATATTGGGTTGTAA